ATGGGACCACTGCCGAGGGGCGACCCCGATCGGTACCCAAGACGTGGGAACAAAATGGACAAACTAAAACAAACAAAAAATAAGGATGAGGGGAAAGAGGACGAGAGTTTCAGCTCTAGTACAAACGACAAAAAGGAGACAAGCAAGGACGAAGACCCTTTCAAAAGGAGGGAATCACTCTCGAGAACACCTCCCGAGAAAGAAGGGCAAAAAGTGTCCAGCTTGAGAACCAACTGGGAGCCATGGGGCCTTGGTAGACCAAGAGCAAATACGAACGGAAGTGATACAGAGAAGGGAGCGAAGAGGAAGGCGACCGAATCTCCGGAAAATAAGGAACATAAAATAGGTAGAGATGCAAATCTACTAAAGAGACGACATGCTGAAGCCGAAGAGAGGCTAAGCAAAGAATTGGAGGTGTTAGGTAACTTCATTCAAGAAAACAGGAACGTTCATGTACCTGTAAAGAAAAGTATCGAAATTATACAAAGAAGTTATAAAAAATTAATAGAAATCATTAGAGTAAAAGAGGAAGAAGAAGATGAAAAAGGAAAAGAGTGGCAAAAAAAAATAGACACCCTGAAGGGGACAGTAAAACATATAGAAGAAGAAAGTAAGATAACAAAGAAAAAGTTGGAAGAAAAAATAGCAGCTGTGCATGAAGAAAAAGAACGGCTAATGGAAAAACTAAGAAAAGCGGAGAAAATGGCAGAGAGAGGTGTTCAAAAAATGAACGTTACAAAGCAAGAAATATTAGAAGCGGACAATAGAGAAAAATTCGATAAAATCAAAAATAATGCATGGGAACAAAATGCTTTCGAAAACGTGGAGGTAGTAGTGGGAAACCCATTGAGCGAAACAAAGAGCGAGTGCATGGTAGTAATAGCAGAACCGGGAGACCCGGATATGAACCGAAGTATTCAAAAAATGTTCAGGGATAGGTATCCAGAAATGACAGAAATGAGAAATAACTTTGAAATAATAGAGAATGTGATTAAAACAAGAAACATAGAGAACAAGGACGAAGTAAGAGAAACAACTCGGAAGATTATTAAAATAAAGACGATAGATACAAAGGATGACCTATGGGATCTATTAAAAAAAGTTCGAGAATACACGAAGGAAGAAAAAATAGAAAACATAGTGACACATAAGATAGCAGAAATAGAAGGAGAAGAACTGAGAAAGATGATGCAGTGTATATTCATGGAGACGCAAACAAAAATAAAAATGTACGTACCGAAAAGTCTTCAAGCAGAAACCGGAAAGAGACAGATCAAAGCAACAAATTCGTACGCGATAGTGGTCGAAAAAAAAGGAGTCGACTACAATACCCTCTTAAAAGAAGTCAAAGCCACATTGGCGGAAAAGGAAGATAGAAAAGCTATAAGAACGGTGAGGAGTACGAGAGATGGTAAAATGCTGATTATAACAGATAAAGACCAGGAAAAGGAACAAAACATAAGAAAAACAATTATAGAAAATATTGAAGAGGCAAACGTGAGACAAATAACAAACATAAATAGAAACAAGAAAACACTGTTTATAAGGAACCTAGACGCAACAACTAATAAAGAAGAAGTAAAACAGGCAATCAGGAGAGAATTGGGAGATAGAGGAGAAGTAGAGTTGAAAGTAGGCGAAGTGAGACCAACGAGAAATAACACACAAACAATCACGATAACGATAGATAAAGACAGCGCGGAAATCTTGATCAGGAAAGAATTTGTGATGATAGGAATTGTAAAAGGCAAAATCGAAGAACGTATGCAGATGACGCGATGTTATCGGTGCTGGGGTTACGGACATGCAGCGAGTGAATGTTTAGAAGAAATAGATAGAAGAAATACATGCTATAAATGTGGGAAAGAAGGGCATCAAGCCGGGCAGTGTAACAACGAGGCAAAATGTCCACTTTGCGAAAAAGAAGGGCACACAGCGGGTAGTTCAGCATGTAAGATCTTCAGAATAGCATTAAAGGAAGCTAAGAGAAGTGCGGAGTCTCCGCAAAAATTAAACTGAAATGGCGCAAATAAACAAAATACCGCTCACCAAAATGGTGACACAATATAGGTTCCTACAAGTGAATCTAAACAGATCAGCCATGGCCATGGCACTAATGAGAAAGACCATAGAGGAAAAAAATATAGATCTGGTGCTAGCCCAAGAGCCAAATATAAAGGCATTGGGAACAAGTGATATATACTGTGATACTAAACAAGATGCTGTGATAATAGTCTGTGATATTTTCAAATCGAATGTGAGTGAATGTGGAAAAGGGCCAGGCTATGTGTGGGTCCGAATAGAAGATACTCTGTATTACTCGTGCTATTTTTCTCCCAACAAGAGCAATCAACAATTTTTGTGCTTTCTAGACAAGTTACAGAGAGATATAAAAGGAAAAAAAAATACAAACAAAATGATAATTTCGGGGGATCTAAATGCTAAATCTAAAACATGGGGAGCTAAATACACAGACAGTAGGGGGAAGATACTAGAAGAATTTATAGCCGAGGCAGGGCTTTGGATAATAAATGTTGGCAATAGACCAACATTCCAAACTGAAAGAGGATCGTCGGTCATTGATATTACACTAGCCACAGAAATGGTCGCGAAAGAAATCTCGAACTGGTATGTAGATACAGACAGCGAGAACTTAAGTAACCACAATAACATCTTCTATACAAGGAATAAACAGACAAAAAGAATCCAAGAACCGGAAAAAACTAATAGTTGGATACTAAATACAGCAGGGTTAGAAAAAATAAAAAAACAAATAGCCGAATACTGGGATTTTCCAATAAATGCTGACTTAAACGAGAAAGTGAAATATTTAACAGAGACTATAAAAGAAGTGTGCAATAATTCCCTGAGTAAGACAAACAAAAGCAAAAGAAGGCCACCAGTCTACTGGTGGAATGCAGAAATTGCGGAGCTAAGAAGAACCACCATAAAAAAGAGACGAGAAATGACAAAAACAGGAAGGGACATAAATATCGAAGATAGGAGAAAACAAGCAGAAGTGGCATATAAAAAAGCTAAATTGAATCTTAAAATAGCTATAAGAAAAGCAAAAAGCGATGCGTGGAAAAGTCTATTACTGGAGATCGACGAAGATAGATGGGGGAAAGGATACAAAATCATAACAAAGAAGTTTAGAAAGTGTACGCCAATCCCAGATGAAGAGACTGAAGAAGCACAAATTAAGAAATTATTTCCTTCAAAGCCACAGATAAGGTGGGATGAACCCGAATACACAGAGCAGCAGCCAAATTTTACGGTAGAAGAACTTAAGGAGGCATTAAGCAAATGTAAAAATAAGAAAGCTCCCGGACCAGACGGTATAAAAATAGAAATAATAAAAGCGGTAGCCGAGGGAAATTACCACCTGCTATTGGATTGTATAAACAGCCTATGGCAAAAAGGGGCATTTCCGACGGAATGGAAAATAGCCAAACTAGTGCTGATAGAGAAACCCATGAAACCTGAAATGCAAAATAAGGAATTTAGACCAATATGTCTCTTAAATAACATTAGTAAATTGTATGAAAGACTAATAAAAACACGACTGGAAAACGAAATACGCGAAAACGGGGATCTGTCGGAACAGCAATACGGATTCAGATGCGGGAGGTCAACTTTAGACGCAATCAAATATGTGATGCAGAGAGCTGAAGAGACAAACAAAGTGGGATATAAAAACAGGGGATTTTGTCTCCTAGTTACGTTAGACATTAGCAATGCATTCAATTCAGCCAGATGGGAAATTATAGTAGAAGAACTGATCAACAAAAAAATAGGTAGTCATTTAATAAAGGTGATACAAAAATATCTGACAAACAGGAAAATAAGAACAAGTAGAGGACGAGTACAGGAAATAACATGCGGAGTCCCCCAAGGTTCAGTGCTAGGGCCAATATTGTGGAATGTACTGTATGACAGAATCTTAAAAATAAAATGTCCAAAAGGAACTAGTTTGGTCGCATTCGCAGACGATCTCGCGGTGGTGGTGTGCGCAAAAAGCGAAATAGAAATGCAAGAAAAAGCTAAAGACGCAATTCAATTAGTGAAAAATGAGCTGGACAAAATGGACCTAACATTAAATCTTGAAAAGACAGATGCAGTTCTACTGTCGGGGAGGAGAAAACTACCGGAATTAAAAATAAAGATATCGGAAAACTTTTACGTCAAAACACAAAAAAAAATAAAATACCTCGGACTAGTAATAGACAAAGATCTTAGAATGGCAGCTCATGTAGACCATGTGGTTAGTCATGCAGAGAAAAAAGCCGTTGCAATAATGAGGCTTATGCCAAATATCGGAGGCCCCGGAGATACCACTAGAAGGATATATGCGACGGTAGCCAAATCGGTAATTATGTACGCAGCCCCCTTATGGATGAAAGTGTGGAAAACAAAAATCTACAAAGAAAAACTGGAAAGGCTAAACCGACGTCTGGCCATAAGGGTAGCCAGGGCATACAGAACGGTTAGACACAGTGCAGTATTGGTAATAGCGGGTTTGCCACCACTAGAACTCCTGGCCATAGAAAAGGAAGACATAGAGAAAGGTAAAAGCAAGGAAATGAGCAGAAGAGACCTACTAACAAACTGGCAAGCGAGGTGGAACGAAGAAAGGTGTTGGACAAAAGAGTTGATAAACAACATTGAGCCTTGGATAAACAGAGGACATGGAGAGCTAAACTACAATCTGAGCATGGTGTTAACTGGACATGGAACCTTTAATACATATAGAAAAAGAATAAAAAAAGATGAAACGGGTCTGTGTTGGTTCTGTGAAGAGGACGTAAAGGATACCCCCGAACATACAGTATTTGAATGTAAAAGATTTAAGGAAAAAAGGCTAGAGCTAAACACGAAAATAAAGGATAGTATATCGAAAGACAACATGACAAACATGATGATAAAGAACGAGAAAAACTGGAACGACATAAACAAATATATAAATGACATAATGGACGTAAAAAGAGAGAAAGAAAGAAGTATAGAAAGGAAAAAATAGTGAGACCGAAGGCAGGCCAAAGAAATGTCCTAAGGACGGTACTGGCTGTCTTCAGAAGAATGGGGAGGGGTTTTAGGGCGGTAAAAATCCCCCACTCCCCCGCGAATATGACATCTTCTCGCGGGGAGCCTTTTGAAGGTTTCCCCTCCTCCCCCAAGAAAAAAAAAAAAAAAAAAAAAAAAAAAAAAAGGTCAGGTCAGGTCAGGTCAGGTCAGGTCAGGTCAGGTCAGGTCAGGTCAGGTCAGGTCAGGTCAGGTCAGGTCAGGTCAGGTCAGGTCAGGTCAGGTCAGGTCAGGTCAGGTCAGGTCAGGTCAGGTCAGGTCAGGTCAGGTCAGGTCAGGTCAGGTCAGGTCAGGTCAGGTCAGGTCAGGTCAGGTCAGGTCAGGTCAGGTCAGGTCAGGTCAGGTCAGGTCAGGTCAGGTCAGGTCAGGTCAGGTCAGGTCAGGTCAGGTCAGGTCAGGTCAGGTCAGGTCAGGTCAGGTCAGGTCAGGTCAGGTCAGGTCAGGTCAGGTCAGGTCAGGTCAGGTCAGGTCAGGTCAGGTCAGGTCAGGTCAGGTCAGGTCAGGTCAGGTCAGGTCAGGTCAGGTCAGGTCAGGTCAGGTCAGGTCAGGTCAGGTCAGGTCAGGTCAGGTCAGGTCAGGTCAGGTCAGGTCAGGTCAGGTCAGGTCAGGTCAGGTCAGGTCAGGTCAGGTCAGGTCAGGTCAGGTCAGGTCAGGTCAGGTCAGGTCAGGTCAGGTCAGGTCAGGTCAGGTCAGGTCAGGTCAGGTCAGGTCAGGTCAGGTCAGGTCAGGTCAGGTCAGGTCAGGTCAGGTCAGGTCAGGTCAGGTCAGGTCAGGTCAGGTCAGGTCAGGTCAGGTCAGGTCAGGTCAGGTCAGGTCAGGTCAGGTCAGGTCAGGTCAGGTCAGGTCAGGTCAGGTCAGGTCAGGTCAGGTCAGGTCAGGTCAGGTCAGGTCAGGTCAGGTCAGGTCAGGTCAGGTCAGGTCAGGTCAGGTCAGGTCAGGTCAGGTCAGGTCAGGTCAGGTCAGGTCAGGTCAGGTCAGGTCAGGTCAGGTCAGGTCAGGTCAGGTCAGGTCAGGTCAGGTCAGGTCAGGTCAGGTCAGGTCAGGTCAGGTCAGGTCAGGTCAGGTCAGGTCAGGTCAGGTCAGGTCAGGTCAGGTCAGGTCAGGTCAGGTCAGGTCAGGTCAGGTCAGGTCAGGTCAGGTCAGGTCAGGTCAGGTCAGGTCAGGTCAGGTCAGGTCAGGTCAGGTCAGGTCAGGTCAGGTCAGGTCAGGTCAGGTCAGGTCAGGTCAGGTCAGGTCAGGTCAGGTCAGGTCAGGTCAGGTCAGGTCAGGTCAGGTCAGGTCAGGTCAGGTCAGGTCAGGTCAGGTCAGGTCAGGTCAGGTCAGGTCAGGTCAGGTCAGGTCAGGTCAGGTCAGGTCAGGTCAGGTCAGGTCAGGTCAGGTCAGGTCAGGTCAGGTCAGGTCAGGTCAGGTCAGGTCAGGTCAGGTCAGGTCAGGTCAGGTCAGGTCAGGTCAGGTCAGGTCAGGTCAGGTCAGGTCAGGTCAGGTCAGGTCAGGTCAGGTCAGGTCAGGTCAGGTCAGGTCAGGTCAGGTCAGGTCAGGTCAGGTCAGGTCAGGTCAGGTCAGGTCAGGTCAGGTCAGGTCAGGTCAGGTCAGGTCAGGTCAGGTCAGGTCAGGTCAGGTCAGGTCAGGTCAGGTCAGGTCAGGTCAGGTCAGGTCAGGTCAGGTCAGGTCAGGTCAGGTCAGGTCAGGTCAGGTCAGGTCAGGTCAGGTCAGGTCAGGTCAGGTCAGGTCAGGTCAGGTCAGGTCAGGTCAGGTCAGGTCAGGTCAGGTCAGGTCAGGTCAGGTCAGGTCAGGTCAGGTCAGGTCAGGTCAGGTCAGGTCAGGTCAGGTCAGGTCAGGTCAGGTCAGGTCAGGTCAGGTCAGGTCAGGTCAGGTCAGGTCAGGTCAGGTCAGGTCAGGTCAGGTCAGGTCAGGTCAGGTCAGGTCAGGTCAGGTCA